CCCTGGGTGTTAAGGACTTGTTACCTACCATACCTACTCAACCGCGGTATCCCCTGTCAGCCCAGTGCGTGCAAATAATTGCCCTCAAACACAACTGTGTCTCCAGCCCCGGCCCCCCACCCGAGATCTATCTCCAAAGGGTTTCCATCCACCCTGCAAACAGCCTCATTTCTGCAGCCTGCTTAGCGAGGCCCCCCCAGTACTTCCACAACCCAACCCCCTTTCTCCTGGCTCTGGTCTCACAGTCTATCCTCCTGCCAGACCATGCTGTTGGACTTGCCCCCAAGGGCTCTGAGCGTCCACTGTTACCACTCCCTCCCACCCGTTGGGACCCCCACTTGTTGTCACATGGGCTTCCTCTTCCCCCTGCCCCACCCAGACCTCCAGAATTCTTTGCTTTCCTCTTTCTCTATCACTGTGGTGATATTGTTTCCTGCCATGAGCCATTTGTGTGTGTCTGTGTGTGTGTGTGCCTGTGTGTGTGTCTTGGTCTCCCATATTAGGTGACACACTCCTTAAACTCAGGGACTCTCTTGCTTATATTGGAGTAGTTGGAAAGAGGCATACTCTTTCAAGTCGTAGGTCCTGGGATCAAATCTCAGCTCCTCTGCTTACTCACCCTCCCATGCCACTGAGTGATGCCCACTCACAGTGGCCCTGGAGGGCAGAGCAGAACTGCCCCGGTGGGTCTTTGAGGCAGTAACTCTGTGAAAGTAGGGAGCGCATCTCTCTCCTGCCCTCACTAGTTAGGTTGTGAGCCACCTTTCTGAGCCTGGTGCTCCCCGGCAGCACAGGGCCCCACAGCAGTGTTGGGGAGAATCAACAGGAAACCCCTAGTAAAGCTCTCCCGGGCTGTCTGTCTCAAGGACAGGGGCCCTTAGATATTGCATTGGTTTTGGTGGGCTTGCTCTCTTCCCAAGGAGCAAATAGAATCTAACTCAATGACAATTCCAGTACTTGTGGGGCTCCTGCCACGTATCCAACACTGGATTTTGTGTTCTCAGGGATCGGAGGGGACTGGGAGCCAGCCCTGAGTCTCTGTGCCATTGTCTGGGCACGTGGCACACAGCTAAGTCAGGATGGGTGAGCTGTCGTCAGGAGTAGCCACTGCGAAGGGACCTTTGGGAAACTGCAGTTTATTCCTGAGTCCTTTCCATTCACATCTGTCCCCTGGAGCGGGAAGCCAGGGGTGGGAGGAGCCCCTGTGTTTCCTGCGGAGCTAGGAGGTATGGTGGCGATGACGGTGTTGTGCTTTGTGTGCTGATACACACGCGGGACAGCATCCCATGTGAGTGCCTCCAGGGGGTCATGCGTCACTGTCCCTGTCACTGCACCGTGGGGTGGCGGGCACAGAGACCGTTGTCAGCTGGCAGGGGCCGTTCGGGGGTGGTGTCTTCACGCACTCCCTCCTCCTGTGGTCTTGGCACATCAAGTGTTTTCACTGGCGCTCAGCAATGGGGCAAGGCAGAAAGAAAAGACTATGACAACGGGATGCTTGTGTGTGGTTGTATGAGAGGGAGCTCACTCCTAGAAAGAGCTGCGCTTCTTTGGGCGTTCACTCCCGACTGGGAAAATGGCCTGCTCTCTGGTCCTCTTCCTTAGCAAGTTTCAAGGTGAGCCTGCCTGCGCTGGTACCCCCATAGCCAGGTCTCCCTGCTCACATCCTGGAGGAATGCCTCAGAGCCCTGGGCTAGCAAGGGAGTGCTGTGGGTTGGT